CAAAGTTCAATCACGTCTTGCTAAACAAAGGTCAATGAGATCTCACTAAATACATGTCAATGAGGTCTAACTTAACATAGGTCAATAAGATCTCACCAAATAAGTGTCGAGGACGCCAAACTTAACAAAGGTCACTCGCGTCTACCTAAGCAATGGTCAATGAGATCTCACTAAATAAGTGTCGAGGACGTTTATCTTAAACAATTGCCAATAACGCCTAACTTAACAAATGTCGATCACGTCAATCAGATCTCATTAAATATGTGTCGAGGACGTTTATCTTAAACAATTGCCAATAACGCCTGACTTAACAAATGTCAATCACGTCAATGAGATCTCACTATATAAGTGTCGAGGACGTTTATCTTAAACAAATGCCAATAATGAGATCTCACTATATAAGTGTCGAGGACGTTTATCTTAAACAAATGCCAATAATGAGATCTCACTATATAAGTGTCGAGGACGTTTATCTTAAACCATTGCCAATAACGCCTAACTTAACATATGTCGATCACGTCAATGAGATCTCACTACATAAGTGCCGAGGACGTTTATCTTAAACAAATGCCAATAATGAGATGTCACTATATAAGTGTCGAGGACGTTTAGCTTAAACAATTGCCAATAACGCCTGACTTAACAAATGTCGATCCCGTCAATCAGATCTCACTATATAAGTGTCGAGTACGTTGATCTTAAACAATTGCCAATAACGCCTGACTTAACAAATGTCGATCATGTCTTGCTTAAACAAAGGTCAATGAGATCTCATTAAATATGTGTCGAGGACGCCTAACTAAACAAATGTCAATCACGTCTTGCCAAACAAACGTCAATGAGATCTCACTATATAAGTGTCGAGGACGTTTATCTTAAACAATTGCCAATAACGCCTAACTAAACAAATGTCAATCACGTCTTGCCAAACAAACGTCAAAGAGATCTCACTATATAAGTGTCGAGGACGTTTATCTTAAACAATTGCCAATAACACCTGACTTAACAAATGTCGATCACGTCAATCAGATCTCATTAAATATGTGTCGAGGACGTTTATCTTAAACAATCGCCAATAACGCCTGACTTAAAAAATGTCGATCACGTCAATGAGATCTCATTAAATATGGGTCGAGGACGTTTATCTTAAACAATTGCCAATAACGCCTAACTAAACAAATGTCAATCACGTCTTGCCAAACAAACGTCAATGAGATCTCACTAAATAAGTGTCGAGGACGTTTAACTTAACAAATGTCAATTACTTCTTGCTATACAACGATCAATTATTTTTAGCTAAACAAAAGTTAATCACGTCGGATTAATCAAGGGTTAATGACGAATAATGAAATAAAGGTGATTAAAATGAAATTGAACAATGATTCATTAAGTTTCAACTAATGTCAAAGATATAAATTGTATATACCCCAGAAAGATCCAAAGTATGGAGCTGAACATAGACGACGATATACGTTCTCCCTTGGTCAATTGGCGGTTGTTTTGTCAACACTTTAATTATTGAGGTTTGTTTCAAGCTATACTTTTGGACGCTGTGTTTATATACATAGCTTGACAGTAAATTGTGAAGATGTTTACCAGGTAGTGTCCACCTCTTAAAACCATTGTACGTATATATGTACATGTAAATCCGCCCGGCCGTCCTTAGATGTGGCATAGGACACTATTAACATAATGGTATCACTCGAAAGAAAATGACATCGTAAAAATGAAGAAATTGCTGTCTAAACAAATATATAAGTCTCCTGTAACGAGACACGACTAAGGTGTTTATAAGTTGGGACACGATCAGCAGAACCCGGTACTTCCGTTTGTTTGAGCGGCAAATTAAATGAATCTCCCAATAGCTGGTGAAACAGTTGTCTCTGGAAGAAGTCATGTCGAATAATAAAAAATAGTTAACGATTTTTTTAATTTTTTTTTAATTTTAATTTTAATTTTAATTACTTCCATTCAAAGTAGCAATCCTTCCTCACAAGCAGTAGGCTACAGACACTTGGGTTTAGCAATTTATAAAAATAATTGGGGAAAAAAAATCATAATTGAAAAAAACCCTGATCGGCCTCTAAACACTAGATTGATTTATAGATGGATGGACATGTACATTAATATTGAATGTTACATTCCTATGACAAGATTGGACGTACTCATTTTACTCTTTTTTTTAAAAGTATTCCCATAAATATCAATTCATTAAGTTTCTTTAATGCTACAAATGTAGTATATCTCCTTTAAATTTGAAGGAAAAATGATGGAATATAATTTCTATCACACAACTATTGTGTCATGGATATTCCATGTCATATTCTTATTTGCGGAATATCTAATGAATATAACATTGATTAAGACCTCATAATTAAGACAGTCTACATGAGATTGTGACAAGGGTGGTCGGGTGGCGTGGTGGATCTTGCCTTTCACCAATGCCGCCGGGGTTCAATTCCCCGATGGGACGTGAAAAAGTGTGGGGTCACCAAGTGCCCGACTACGTGGGTTACAAGTGATAAGTATAATTTGTAAATTTGTTTTACATTTGTTGTAAAAATAATAAAGATTACTTCTAACTGAAGACGATAAAACTGAAGTAAAACTGTTAACGCGGAAGTCTGAAGGTTAGTAATTCCGCGTTCATTCTCAGTAATGTGCCGATAGAAAGGTACGTTTATATACAATTTACGAAATTCAAGTTATCACTCGTTTGATCAATGTCATTAGAAATGTAAAGTCATTTAAGATAGAGAGATAAAATAACGCACTAGACTGCTGTATGTTAACGACTACTAACATGGATGTCGAGGCGTGACATGTCTATGTAGCTATGTTGATCAGGTGACATGTTTATGTAGCTATGGTGATCAGGTACAAAGCAGATGCACATGCATTTACATATTATGTAATAGCCACGTGACCGACGCTAATATTTTCTATAGACATCAGGAGGGGCAAAAACGCGTCCTTTGCATGGAAACGAACAGATGGATTCAATTTTTAAACATTTCCTCAGTCTCGCTCTGAACTTTTTAATGAACCTTTTTAAAGACATACACTGTAATATGAGTTAAAGAACTGCTCGAGATTGTAATTTCTCACAGCCGTGGTGTCAGACGGACGGACTGTGACCAGGAACTTCATTAATGACTCAAATTGGCAACATATTGAAAATACACATTAAAACATGCTACACTTTCAACATTACCTTTAAACATTTCTGATGAAGCATGTGGATAATTTCAGTTTGAAATTAATTTTGTTGTCATTAATGTTTCTTTTCCCAATCAGTCTGCAGTTAATGGGAAATAACTCTGTCAGTATTGTGATTTGTCATTATCTCATCCACTTAAGGATCCCGGTACCACTGCCAAAAACTGAAACTAAGTGCTATAAGCTATTTTTTTCGGCATGACTACAGCTTTGATAAATCATTTCTGAAGAGGAAACCTAAGTGACGGGCCTTTTATGAGAAATAATAAAGATGAAATAAACAAAATATAATCAACAACAGCGTTCTGAGTGGAAACTTTCGCGGGACTAGACCTAGTTTCGAACCCTTGATTTCAGACAGTTATCCACACACATGTACAGTGTACTATAGTTCCAAACGCCTGAACTGTCTGGTCAGCAGATAGAGGTGTCCTGGCCTGTAAACTTGCTTCCAGGGGAAGTAAGTCAAGAACGCAGTCCATTACCATAAATCAATATTCAGGGTTCATCTTGTTGTTTTCGGGTATTTTTGGGTAAAGCGTGCTACCGCCTACCGTGCTACCGATAGGAATCGTTAATTGCGATAGTTCACATTTCCTTGTCAACGCTCTGGAATTAAACTTTCTATTTCACTCTTTCAAGTCGAGGCGATTTCTTATAAATACACCATAAACATTGTCCAAAATAACTAGCTAGCTCCTCCTTAATGTTTTGATTGGGTATCTCCACCATAAATTTTTTCAAAGAGGAGATATTCAATCATTTCGGGATATAGGATATATAGCCCTTAAAAACTGATTTTGAGTGGTGAAAAAAAATATCTATAAATTTAAGTGGTATTTGGACTGTGACACCAAGTTGGTTACATAAAGTATACTCAGTATCTAGGCTAATACCAACAGACATTGCAGCTACAGCACAGGCTATATTTCTCATATAAAGTATGTTAACCCCAATGCTATTTTTTTCAAACAACACAGGTCAAGCATAACTTTGAAAACAAAATCTATCGACATGCCCTTATGTCCGTAACGTTTTCGATTTGATGAAATTTACAATTATATCTACAATGTATAGGTCACATCTGACAAAAAAAAGCGAACTGAAGAATATTTTATTGCACAATTTAGCAATATTTTGTGATTCGATTTGATATCACAATGTTAAATTCACGCCATTTAAATGTTTGAGCCTTTAATAAAATATTGATCCCTGCAGCTGGTAGCAACAATGGGTTATTAACTGGCAACATTACACACGCGCGCTCTGTACAGCCTCCACTGATGTTAGTTAACGCCAGACCTTATCTCAGTCACGTTCAATGATTATTTTCACAGGGGCTGGAGTAACAGAGAAAAAAAATGTAAAAATGACTCATATTCTGTATAAAAAATACGTGGTTACCGAAAAACGGCTGAAACCTTTTAGGAAATTAGTCTACGTCTGGAGCTGGAATCTATCAAAAGATGTTATACTGGAGCAATGAATAACCGTCCCCTAACAATAACAAAGATTAATTTATTTGGTGGTAGTGTGAAACCTTCACAGTTATAATGTCCTCTTATGTTTTATGTTTCATCAGCCGGTCCATCTGAACTCTAGATCACTTCTTAATAGTTACTCCAATTATCTGCTATTTTTTTGGTATCTGACCGATACGCTATTAGATTATCACGGATCTAAGTCCGTGACAGTATCAATTCATAACCAATCTGTCATACCCTATATTTAGAAGTGGACTTTCCCAGTATCGGTCGTTACGGCTGCCTGATTCTCAATCACGTTCATGTCTTTTGTTTAGGGAGTACGGTGCAACTGGCAGCCACAGAACCCAGAACCTGTCTAATTTCGGTTCGTGACAGCACGTGACGTTATCAGGAAACGGACAAGCAGTGGATTTCTTTGTTTCGGATTCTCGTCTGCCTGACTGGGAAACTAATTCCACACACAGGTAAGTGTTATACAACTTTATCAATCAACTGTACATGTCACACACAATTATGCACGTGCATGTGCTCGATTCGTCTGATAGTGTCCGAGACATTTTGCAATACATGTCTACATGACAGACAGCCTGTTGTAGATCGTGTCATTTTTGTGTCATAGAGACACCTCTCTAGTCCGACCACGTATGCTACTGGAATCGAATTTTTGTTCGGAACTTATTTTTCCGGAAAGTGTGTGTGTGAATCTGTTTCCATTTGATATTCTCATAAGGATTTCATTTGTTCATTAGACGTGCAATGTTAAATCTATTTAGTCAAGGGTGGATTGAGGCAAACATTCCCAATGTTTAAGAAAAAAAGAGAGATGGG